TATCGAAGCATCCTGGGCCTCCATAACACCTCAGCAGTGCCACAGGCTGATTGCCTCCGTGCCCCGCCGCATTGAAGCAGTCATTTCTGCAAAAGGATTCCCGACCAAGTATTGAGTGCAGAACCGAACATAATTATTTGAAGGTTCACTGTTATTGTATTAAAACACTTTTTCTTTTATTGGTCGGATGAAATACGCTAATTTTTTGAGATAATGATTTTTGGTTTTTCTTTACTTTTTTTTGCCAAAATCATCAATATTAAAACAAGAAAAGGCTTGAACTACTTCAGTTGGTGTGCAATGAATCTAAAATATATGAAAGTTTCATTTTTATCAGTAACAGAAAATAATGAACTTTATCACAATATGCTAATTTTTTGAGAAGTACCTGCATATGAGGCCTCAACTCAGAGAAGCAGGAGCAGAGAGCAGGAGGACAGTCTGATGGATCTATGTTGTTCCCCGTGTTTCCTGTTGTTGAAATAAAACTCAGCTTACCATCCCATGGAGTGCCTTCATTCTTGGACCACATATTTCTGTCTTTGTTAATCCAGTTTTTATGCGATTAGTTACAATTCAATGCATTCGGGCTGACTCTCAGGTACTACTACCACATCATATTGTACATCAATATCTTCCAATTTTAGCTATCGTCTTCCATGCAACACTTTGTGAAATGCATTCACTTTCTCTGAGAATGAGTTAACAGCTCCTCTGTGTGTGTTTGCAGAGTAACGCCAATGTCATCCAGCCAAGTGCACAGCAGCGATGCCTACATCTTGTTCTATGAGCTGGCTTCTTCCTTGCACATGTGAAGTTCCCTGGAAAAGGACTGGATCCCCTTTGATGGACGAACAGACAAACGATGAACAAAAGGACAGATGACAAATGAGACTTCTGTTGGAGTGTGGCCTGTTTGGGACTTGTCTCAGGCAGTTGATGTTCACAAGCACATATAAAAGCTTGGAATCCACCAGAACACTGTGATCTCCACTGGAACCTGATCAACCAGCTCTGTGTCTGACACTGCTCCTGTGTCCTGCTCATCCTGGGTGGAGCTGTGTGTGTGTGTGTGTGTGTGTGTGTGTGTGTGTGTGTGTGTGTGTGTGTGTGTGTGTG